CTCCATTAAGGAAGATTATTTACAGCATTGGAGTGCTGCCACTGGAACATTCCATAGACAATTAAGCCCAGGTAGACGCTAACCAAAATGCACTCTACTGCTGCTGGCACCAGAGGGCAATGTTTTTATTAGCGAATTGTCACAATTTGATGTCTTCTTGCCATAATTTCAAAGGTCCACTTATCAATCCCATGATTCCAACTGTTCTCGATTATAAGGCTGCTTACCTGAACCAGGGTAAACCCTGTTTTCAGAGAGGCTCTGTTTCCCACGTTAAAGCCTCTTCTGCAGCAGACATGCATCTGTCTAAGGAAACGTCACAATACAGAGCAGAGGCCTCTGTAAATTCGGAGTCTGCACCTTTAAGGAAACATGACTTTGTTAGAACAGCAAAATGGCCCCAGTTTGGCCTTATGTTCTACCAAAAGCTCATTGCTTAGCTGCATTTAATAATCCATGAAACAATTTCTATTAACTTTAGTGTGTGAATTGTGCAGCTGAAGAATGGGTAAAAAAAAAATGTGTGAAGCAGGAATAAAAAATATGCAGAAAATGAAAATGAGTGAGATCATAAATATTTCATCAAGGCCTCTATTTTCAGGTAAGCAGTTACCATCTTGGGCCCCCAAATGCCAACAGACACTACAGAACACCATTCTGAATTATTAAAATGACTAGGGGGAAACTTTTTTCTTCTTACTACTTTTAAATGAGTATGTAGCCTTCTGAGCTAACCTTTGCTTAAATATTTAACACAGACATTGGGTCAAATATACAGTAGTAAAAGTGCTCAATCTAATACTCACCTGTAATTATGAATCAGATTATATAATGAGTCTCAGCCACTTCATTTTATTTTTTTCTCTCTCTACTATGACAATTCTCCCCAATTTAAGAGGAATCCAATCTGAATTAAAGTCTGCATTCTAGAACATTTTTAACTATATATTTACTGATTTTGTTTAGTTTTCATTGGCTCAATTTATTCATTCATTCAACAAATATTTATTGAACATTTAATAGGGGCCAGGCACTGTTCTAAGTGTGGGGACATATCAAGGAACAAAATATTTTAAAACTCAGCCCTTTTTGGACCTTATACTTAAGTGAGGGAGACAAATAATGAATAAAGATATATGTCAATGACAAATAATGAGTGCTATGAATGGAGTGCTATGGGAGGGTCTGTTGTTGGTTTTGTAGGTAGGGTGGTCTATTAGAAAGCTAATGAGTTGGACAAATTACCTTGGGAGTGAGAAAGTATACCATTTCAGTGGCTCTGGGGGACAAGCAGGCCCAGTGTGTTCAAGGGACAGCAACAAAGCCAGGGAGACTGGAGGCGAGGAATGGTCACTGTCAGGAGACCATGTCAGGGAGAGCTTGTCAGGGCCCTGGAGGCCATCAGGGAGGACTGGGTATTTTATCTTCTTTGTAGTAGAAGCCACTGAGGGCTTATGAGAGGGGAAGTATTGTGAACTGATTCATATTTTAAAGGGATCACTTTCACTTAATAGTAAGTATGGCCAATGGTGGCTTTCTAGAGGAGGCTTGCTTCAATGGCCATATAAGAAAGAGTTGCATTGGCACTCTCTGTTTATTGGTGGTAAGAAAACACCCACCTGTGCAGTACCTGGAGTGCTTGACAAGTTTGCCCTCTTTGATCATTTAAAAAGTCTACCAGTCTCCTTTCTGAGCACTCAGAAGCCAAGGGCCCATCCCAACACAGAGCTGACCCAGTTCTCAGTCCCATCATGATCTGCCCAAGAGCAAGTTTTCCAGAATGTGTTTCGGATACACCTCTAGGCCAGAGACAGTTTGCTTAAAGTGCTCCTGTTAAAGCTTCATTGGCACAACATTAAGTCATAGAAGAAAACTGCACAATAATGTTATAGCTTGATCTCATTTGCCTAAAAATAATTTGTCAAATGTTAAAAAAATGAGCTAACATAGCGGTTCAAGTTTTCCCCCTTAGAGATCTCCCTCCAACAGCCTGTTTCTTTAGTGGACAATTTTGAGGCATGTTCTTTACACTGCTTTCTAGTTTTCCCACAGCTTAAGCTCCAGTCACCTGTTATAGCTGGCTGAACAATGCATCCTTTACTGGACTCCCAAATAAATTACTTGAACCCTTGTCTTGAGATCTGTTTCTGAGGGAGCCAAACTCAAGCATCCTCTATGTAAAATCCTCCTCTCACTTAGGGAGCATTACCTGCCCACTTACTTGAGCCATAAGGACAGATAGGGTTCAGGAGAAATAAAGCTTTCCAATAAAGGAGAGATACAGCCCTACCTGGTTTGGCTCAGTGGATAGAGCGTCGGCCTGCGGACTGAAGGGTCCTGGGTTCAATTCCAGGCAAGGACACATGCCCAGGTTGCGGGCTCAATCCCCAGAGGGGGGCATGCAGGAGGCAGCCAATCAATGATTCTCTTTCATCATTGATGTTTCTATCTCTCTCTCCTTTCCTCTCTGAAATCAATAAAAAGGAAATAAAAAGTATTCTCTTTAAAAAATAAAAAAATAAAGGAGAGATACAAATATATTATTCCAATTATACCCATGATCCAGTAGCCCCTTGTGCCCTCAAGAAAAGGGCATGATTATCTTTTAAAAAATATTTTTATCCTACTCTATCCATTTTACTCTGTCCACTGAGCCAAACCGGCTAGGGCAGGGCATAATTCTTATCTAGACATTTCCTCTTCTAAAAATATTAGGAGCTAGTTGCGTCTACAGAATGGATTTCTCAACTACTGCTTCTTGCCCCTCCCCACTTAGACGAGGTACAGTGTGGCCATTATTCTTACCTCCCACCATTAAGAGGCACTACTTTGTGCCGAGGAAGCCAGCTTCCCTCCTTGACCAAGCTTCGGTTAGTCTTCACTACCCAGGGAAAGAAGCGCCCCTTGCAGGAGGAAGCCATTGCCCAGTCTGTCTCACTCTCTGTGTCCAGCCTCTCCTTCCCTAGGTCAGGGCCCAGACTCAGAATGAATTAGCCCTTGACTTTAATTCAACTTGTGAAACCAACATGCTACACAGAGATTCTTAGAAATCCCTAACCTTTCTCATGAGCCTCAACTCTGCTGGGAGACAAACTGAGATATCAATAAGAGAACATCCAAAGATAATTATCCTTGAATTTTGTTAAATCTCAGAGTGGGGATGGCCTAAGTATGGTACATAATCCAGAGGCAATAAAAAGAAAAGAACAATAAATTCGACCAATATTTAAAATTTTTGAGTTGTTAAAAATAGTTTTTAAAATAAAAAACACACACACAAAAAAAACCAATAACTAACCTTGTACATACAGATACTAAGCCACTTAATCTTCCCCAAGAGGTAGAGGTTGTTACCTCCAATTTCAGAGAAGGACAATGAGGCTTAGAGAGGTAAAGTGACTTTGCCTAACCAGTATGCCTGTCCAGCCAACCTCATGGAAGCACTGTAAGGACCCGCTGACCAGGCAGGGGCCCAGAGCCAGTTTTATAAAAACACTCTCTATACTAACAATTTGTCACCAATACTAGGAAAAGTTGGGTATTATGTGTGCAGCAATCACAAAACCTTGACATCACCCTTGATGTCTGTTTTTTGCACACTCCAATTCACTCCATTAGGAAATTCTTTTGGCAGAAACTGATGAATCTGGACCTTTACCCTACCACCCCTGAGAGGATTTGGATTTATGGAGGGTCCTGGGTGGGCAGAGGAAGCCAGGCCACATTGGAGAGACAAATTCAGGAAATAAATTACCTAAGAAGATCTCAGAGGATAGGGACTCGAATCTCCAAGACCCCAGGATTTTGTTGTGATTGCTTTTCTTAGCCTCAATTCTGTAGGGCTTTCTAAAACAGCCTTTCTTTCTACCTTCCCCTGCAATTCTATAAGCTTCATGTCCCCAAAACCTTCATCCACTCCTGGTTTGAGGTCTCAGAGCTCACCCGGGCGGGACTTGGGAATGAAGGTGTAAATTTGTCAGGAGAAGGGAGGCAAGGGCACAGTAAGGGAGTAAATCCTCATCTAACATGGCAGAAAGTCAATAGATAAATCAAAATATCGCTATGTAAGCTTATTTTTGTAGCGACAAGGGGTGACCACCAGAAGAACTAAATGGAGGAACTGATATAAAGGGCTGTGTGTGGGGAGCAGGAGAGCAGGGCCTGTTGCTTTCATTTCGGGAACATTTGGACCATTTTATTGTGTAAAAAGTGCTGCTCTTGCATTACTTTGATATATATTTTTAATTTGATCTTTAAAAATTAAAGTAAAATTAAATGACTTAAGAAATAAAACGCAATACAAAACAGGAAAATAAAAAGCAAATAAACACGCACAGAACTGTCAGGGAGTGGGGGCAGGGAAGGGGGAGGGGCGAGTGGGCGGGGCTTGGGCGGGCACAGAACCCGGTCTCCTGGGGCCGACCCCAGGGAGGGGGCGGGGCGAAGAGCTAAGTTTCCTGCGACTCCGCCACAGGGGGAGGCGGGAGCGTGGGGTCAAGACGCTGGAG